GATGAGATACTTGAATGGATGAGAAGTCAAAGACAATAGGGAATAATACAGAAAAATTGAGCAATTATTATCGGCATCAGGAAAAGCATGGCCCTTTGAAGACTTGAGTAACAGATAACAAATAAAACAATCAAGAGTTACAGGTCTAAAATGTGTTTTTTACAACCAGAGAGACAGAGTGCAAGCTGCCTTAAGACAAAACTTGGGCTGGCTATGTATTTTTACATTGCAAAGGATGCGCAGCTTCCTCCCCCCCCTCCCCCTCCCCCGGTTTGTAATCATTGTTTCCAGCTAGGAGTTTATCTCATTCTGCAAGAAGATGCATGAATAATAGAGCTCCCAGGGCTGCCTGCTTTTCCCAGGAATGTGGAGCTGGGCAAAAAGTTCTAGTCCCTTTGAATGGAGAGCAGCAAGGGCACTGTTGCCAGATTTTATATTAAAGGACTCACAAAAGCATATCTTTTATTTGAGGATTTATTTGGACTTTCCCAACACCACTAAGTCCAACTGGATACATCAGTGAATCTTGTTCATTCAGCCCTACCTAAAAAACTTGATTTTCGGTCTGAGCAACTTGTCATATTGACTATCACCTCCTAAGCCCTTCCTCTTCAGCACCTAGGTTTTTGCCTGAAATTGTGCCATTGCCTATGGCCCTTGAAAGTGTGATCTTTGGTCTGACTTGGACTAAATTACCTGCCTTTAGATTCTTTGATGGCTTTCTCTGGAACTTGAATTATGCCTGTCCTGTGATTCCTCAAACTGATGGCCGGTAGGTCCTGCAGACCCAGAAATCTGAGTATCTGAGAGCCTAGCACTCTTGTACCTGGGATGCAACACTAAGTGCAATGACTTCTCACAAGTCTTCCTTAATATTCTAACTGGGAAGATGTAACAGAAGAGGAAAGCAAATGTATGTTTATAGTAACATGCTGTTTGTCCCTTGGTTTAGTTGAGCTGATTCACTCCAGGGACAAGATGTATTGCTTGTTTGTTTGTTTTGAGATTACAGTCTTGAATATGATCTATTTGTCCTGCTTTGCATTTCACTCAGTTCAGAGATATTAGACTACAGGCTTTTTCAATTGGGAGATTAATAATTCACTGTCTTAGAAAAGAAGCTGGTAAATTTGCCCTTAAGTGGGTGGATGGGAGTAACTAGTAAATGAACTAGTTAGCATGTTCTGAGAACAAATTTGCTTTATTTGTTAGTCCATGGCACAAACTGACTGATCCATACTTTGAGTGTGTTCTAAAAAATCTTCCAATTAAAATGTGGGTTCTGGATTAAAGGGATGAGGAATTTCTCTGTTGCTTCTTTCTGCCTGGATACGTGAATGTGCTATAACAAGATACTGAAATATAATCCAGTTTTGCAATAGTACCACAAATCTACACAGCCACTCTTCCTTTTCAATTAAGGCTGAATTAACTGAGGTTTACGTTCATTCATTTGGTAATGGGATTACATTAATATGAGATAAACCACTCTTAAATCAGAGAGACATTCCACAAGCAGCTTAACCGATTTAACTAAACGGCTAGAAGAATGGGGACTTCCCTTCTGGATATTTTAAAAGGAAGGGCTGATATTATAATATTATTTTTCATTCTGCTTCCTTACTAAGTTTGAAAATGTAGTGCTGATATGAATGGAATCCTCCCCTCAGACCCCCAGTCCATTTGCACTATTTTGGAAATAATTCCAGTTGAACTACCTCATGCGTTTTTCTGTCTACACTGACTCACATTGAAGTTTTGAATGTTAAATGTTAAAATAACTAAAGGCACACTCACATAACGTAGGGCTGAGAGAAACTTTTCCAGTATTTCATTTTCATTTGAAAAAGGTCACATTCAAGTAGCTGTAATTCTTTTAAAAATAGTTAAATAGTTCTACATCAACTTTCAGAAGATGCTTTCAAGGCAGCTAATAATAAAAAAATTAAAAGAAGTCTGGAATATAGTTGTTAATGATAAGTTAACTTGTGATATTAAATGGAAAAAAGTTTTGATAAGTGAAAATAAATTTGTAAATATTTGGAGACCTTGTATTGTATACGTTTTAATAAAAGGAAAGGCATGTGAACCACCACAAGAGCCAGTGCAGTTGTGGAAGAGAAGTGGGGCATCCAGAATGAATAAATTCTCTTACACTAAGTAACTAGAGTTGTTGGTCCTGAGGGAGGTAGCACTGATATTAATGTGCTGTTTAATTGTGTTAATCAGTAATGTTTGGTTATAATTATTTTATTATATTAATTGTATTGTTTTTCTTAGTTTAAAAATAAAATAGAAGTTTAAAAAATCAATAAAAAATCAAAGTTAACCATCAACTTTAAATTAACATGATGCATTTTTTCTTAAAATAAGATAGTTGACAAGAAAAACATCAGTGAAAATACTACTGAAAGAGAAAAACTGCAATAATAAAATGAGAATCCATTAAATGTTTAGAAAAACAGGTGTTACCAACAAAAGGGCCCTGTATCTTGTTGCACAGCTGTGGAATACTCTCCCTGGGGACACTAGAGCAGCACCAAATGGTCTAGTGCAGGGGTCTCAGACTCAACTGACCCGGGGGCCGCTGGAAGTAGAGCCTGGGTGAGGCTGGGCCGCATCAAGTATTCCACCACCGCGGTGGTGGTGGGCCGCTCATCCCGTGTCGCTCCCGGAGGCCGGCCCGGGTGCCGCCGGCGCTTTGCAGGCCTCAGGGCCCCTCACCCGTGCCCCACCCGGCCCAGCAATGGGCCTGCAGGCCGCGAGTTATGCCCAGGGATCAACCAATATGGTCAGGAGTGAAGGGAATCAAAAATCTCTAGTGTTTCCACATGAGATTCAGCATCTAAAGAGCTGAGTAAGTTCCAGAGAGGGACAACTGGAAAGCTGCTGTGAATGTATCATTTTCATGTGTTAGGATATGGTTTTCAGTTATGTAAACACAACAATATTTATTTCAAGCCCAAGTTTGGCATGTTCTGGAAACTTTTCTGGACTATCCTCTTGCAAAAAGTGACTACTAGTGCCATTCCATATGCCACATGTTTACTTAAATGTAAATCTGAGTTAATTCTATTGGATTTAATCCTAGGTAAGTATGCATAGGGTCCTACCCCACAGGAATTGTCCCCATGACTTAGAATATACTTGTAAAAACAGTAGAAAAAAAGATGAAAAAAGAAGCAGTGGGAAACCAGTGAGAAGAGTCCTGAATGGCAAAATCAGATGCAAGTCTAGAAGGCTGAAATGAGTGAAAATAATATTTTTGTGCTAACTAACCCATGGATAATTATATCCTGAAATGTGTGTATATACAGCTTGCTTTAAATTCTTTCTTTCTAAATTGTTCTTAAGGGTTTTGCTTTTTTTTAAAAAAATATACCTACATTGGAACATTAAAATACAGTCCTGAAATAAAAAAAGAGAGGCTAAGAGGATGTAGCCTGCCAAACCAAATAGGTTTCTGCTTACAAAAGGCGAAATCAGGATTCTAAGCAGTGAATGAATCAAGTTTCTGTACTCTGGACATACCTTTTCTAGCAGTCTCTTTCCTACAGATTTATTCTGTATTTAGATGTGCAGGTTGGTCCCTACTTTTTATTTTCTAAATTAAGTTTATATTTTCCCTTAGGTTTCCTGTTTAGGATTTAAATATATTTTCTGTATAATTTGATGACACTGTGGGGTCTAAAAATATTGCCTCTAATAGCATGCTTTGTGTCTAAGAGGATGCGCCTGTGGAGGAAGAGCAAAAATATCCAGCAGGTTTTCTCCAAAAAAGGAGGGAAAAATACTAAATCTGCTGAAAATGTGTTCATTTTTTCACTTTCCCTGATGGCTATGTTGGAGTAAAATTTTGGTTAATTATATTGGTACTTGCAATGTGGCATTCTTTGTGGGAATCACTTGCCTTGTCAGCCACTGGATCTTCCTATCTTGTATCATGTACTATTTTGGATTTTTAGAAGTTCAAGAGCTACTTTTGTTCTGTGTCAGGGCAGGAAGAAGGAACAGGGAATCACTCAGTTTTGTTTTGCATTTAATCTCTTGAGGTTCTTTTTTTTTCTTTTTTTGGTAGCGGGGTGGGTGTCTACCTTTACAAGGAGCACTCAGCCGACCAGCCCAAAGAGATCTGTAGGTCTCCTGAGCAATCCACTCGCTCACAGCAGTGGGTTGAACAAAGACTGCACGGACTTACATAGCAGTTTGGGACCACCTTCCCTTGTGGAGTACCTTCTGACTGTGGTCCTGCCTGCTCACTGAGACCAACAAACGAAGCCTTCTTCATGGCTCCACAGCCACGTTGCCTCTGGGAACCGCATGGCAGAGGGCCTTCACTTTCTATTTCCATCTGCCTCTCCTCAGATAGAAGTCATGTGTCAACTACATATTGTTTCACCACAGACCAAGACTGTATTTCTTTCCAAAAGCATCTCCAAATCATTCATAACTGACAACATCCACTACTGCGAGATTGAACCTTTATTTATTATGACCCATACAGGTTTTAATCTTGTTTATTGCTGTTGGTGTATATATTATTTTACTGTGTAAACATCACTTTGGATGTTTGTTAAATATATATGCATTAATCAATTTATATAGATATAGTGCTGCTTTTCTGGTTGAGATTTTCTAGGAGTTGGGAAAAAAGCTACCTTTATCCCATCACATTTTCTATTGACTTTAAAAGTAGATTTTTGGAAGCTAAGTCTCCCTTACAACACGGAACAAAATTGCTTTGCTTAATGGAGCCCAGCCTAAAGAATTTTCAGTGGTACTCTTAGGAATCAGTCCTATACATCTTTAGACATAAAATTGTATATAAACTCTGCTCATTCCCTAGCTAGCTTGGCTGTTTTGGGAATGCTGGGAGTTTTAGAACTTATTTTCTCTCGAAAAGTATGTAGGATTGCACCTTTACTGAACTATTGAACTGTTGCTCCATTTGATGGGTCCGTTTTTATTCTCCTCCTAATTATGCTCTTCTTGCTTTGCAGATGACAGAAGGGAGACACTGTCAGGTGCAGCTTCTGGATGATAGGAAGTTGGAGCTGCTGGTTCAGGTGGGACATTAGCAGTTCTGGCATCATTATATTGTAGCATCACCCTAGTGCTACTTTATGCAATTATCCATTTTTCTATTTCACACCAGTGCCCTGTCACTGACTGAAAGGTGGCATTCACTTTTTCCGAAGCTCAGAATGCCCCAGCAGAGAAGCTTAACTGAGTGGGGCTAGCCACATTGCAAGTGATGAAAAAGGCTCCTCTTCCACTCTCTTTCTCTCTGACAGGAACCCTAAACAGTCAGAGAGAAACAAACAGTCAAACTCTGCCAGTCAGAGCAGGCAGTCCTGGGCTAGCTGGAGAAATAGCCTACAAAACTATAAGGCAGTTTCCTGTTATATGTGTGGTAGCACATCTGTGTCTCTCTTTGCTGTTTTATTAGCAGGAATACTCTGTGGGAAAAGAATCCCAGACTGGCACCAATTGGAACCTTTTTCATGCCATATTGGTACAGGGTTGGAGGGGGGATTTTACTCTTGATTGCATTTGGGGAGGAAGAGAAAAGCTTCTGTTCCCTGCATATGAACAGAATTAATTAGGAGCTTAATTCTGAAGCTCCTAACTCAGAATTAATAGCATTACAAAAGTAAATTAAGTTGCAAATAATCTTTTGAACATACTGTGTCATTTGGCTCTTTGCTTCTGCCCCTTTCCCAGAATATGAAGATGGAGAAGTTTCATTCTCATATACAGTAATGATGATTGAGATAATGTACATTATATAATAGCATACAAAATGCACTGTGTAAGGGCAATATCCAATTCAACACTAGTGCTCCTGTAAATCACACTGGATTCATCTAAGCACCCCTAAGTCAATGCCAATAGCATTTTTGGCTGCAGCGGATTTTCCAGGAAAACCTGTTGCGCCAACAAATGGCATTGCCATTGTGCCAGAGTTAAGGCTATGAGACGCTGGGAATTCTGTTCGTCCTGCAACAGCAGGGGGTTGGACTCGATGGCCTTCATGGCCCCTTCCAACTCTACTCTTCTAGGATTCTATGAGCCCAATGGGAAGTTGGTATCTGTCAATATCCTGATCAGCCTCATCTTTGTCTACAGGTGACTTTGTTTTGCCTAGCAGAACCATATTCCCTACCTGTCAAATAATTTACAGTGCTATAGGGCTATATGAAGTAGGGGTACACTGCACACTTGCCTATCAGAGTGCTGCAGGCTCTCATCAGATTTATAAGGAACAGAATTACCAGACTTGTACCTCCTACCTTCTATAATAGCTCCCCCTGAAGAATTTACAATAGTGTACACTTGCATATGACTGCCAACTTAAAAAAAGATCAAATTACAACACTTTTGCACAAATTTCAAGATTCCCACCGCCTCCAAGAATTTTCATGAATTGGCATTATTAAAAAAAAACACAGAACCTGCCAATTGACTCAGGTTCGGGTTGCCACCAGCAGAAGACAACAGAATGACATTTGCAAGCTGGAAAAAAATCCAATTTTCACCTCCCAAAAGAAACATTCAAACACTCCTAGTTAGAAGTTGCTTAGGGTAGTACAGTATAATGTATGTCAGCACTTGTGCCCAGTTGAATAATGTCCAAAGTTCTCTTCTGTTTTCAAAATAGCACCGAGTGCCCCCTGCTTCAGGTGCGCATAAACCTCCACACTAAAAGGCTTTTGTGCATCCAATGCATGGAGTGAGGCGCAGTGGGAGCAATTTCTGCCACCACTATACCTCATGCCATGTATTTTAGCTAGATAGCTGTGTGTTTTATCCAGATGGCCGAAGAGCTGATCGGAATTGGCATAAGGTATTGGTCCCAGCCTTTTCCCCTCCCTGTCCCAAGCACACCACTTCCCACCTCTCCAAGGTCAAGTTGAAGCCTGAGGGAGGAACAGAACATGGTTCTTTGCAGAACTTTGGTGGGGACTCAGTCTTTGCTACAACAGTGCAGGACCTCAACCTGGGTTTCCAAAAATTTTAAAATGCAGATTGTCTGTTGCTCTGAATGGTATTGGAGGAAAAGCAAAAACAAAAATTCTGAGCCAAAAGCCTTGTTCAAATATGACTTGTATGCACACAGTGAAAGAATACCATATAACTCACATCATTCTTTTCAATAGCCTAAACTTTTGTCGAGGGAATTGTTGGATCTGGTAGCTTCACATTTCAACCTCAAAGAAAAAGAATATTTTGGGATAACGTTCATTGATGACACGTAAGTATCTACAGGTATTTAAACCAGTGTTTTGGCTAATAGCAAATGAATTATTTTGGCTGCTATAATCTTATTTCTAATTGTTAAATGATTATGAAACCCCTCAATCATAGTTAAATGAAGGTGTTCAGGTACCTAATCTTTCCTATGTGCTGTAAATTTAGATTGTCGGTATCTGCTTAGTTTCTGCAACAGGCAGAAGAATCCTGTGGCATCTCAGATGATGTCTGGGGAAACTTAGGGTAAGGCAGATCCCATCCCCACAGTGAGGCCACAGACACACACGAACACACAGGCTGAGAGCTGAGATTTTAAGTGCAGATTTTTCAGTCCTTCACTCTTCACAGCTGCCATGGAAATCAACATGGTGGCTTCTCATCCAACAGCATCTTTGGAAGAGGCTGCAAGAGTGAAAACTGGGTCTTTTGCTTTATGTTTCTGTGAGATTATTTTAAACGTTTGGTTTATGAACTGTAAGCTGCCTTGAAGGCTCTTTAAATTAGGAGCAAGCTGGGATATAAATATGCCAACTAATAAATTGAACAAGTCCCTCACACCTTCTCTTCTGCTGCAGTTAGATGGCTTCAAAATGTGCCTAGACAGTCTGCATCTGTCTGCAGATATTCATTAAATGTGTACAGATCTATGCATTATTTGCATGTTTCAAAATTTGCTAACAGCTTTCCTAAGAAACTAATGGCTTTGACTGTGAGATGTGGAGGTGTGAATTGGCAGTACAGGGCAGTGCTTAATCATGTCTACTGTTTTCGCACTCCAAATCGCTCCCATGCTGCTTATATACACAGGCATAGAACAGAATTCCAAGTGTATCTTTGCCTCTCCAGGTAAGCAGGTAAAATTCTGTCATATGGGGACAGTGGCGTGAGAGATAATTTGGAGCAGGAAAGCATTCATTAGGTAGTAGGCTAAACACCTTCACTTGCCATTCCAATAGCTCCTCTCAAAGATTCAGGTTATTTATTGGAAATGTATTTGTTTAGTGTATATTCCACTTTACTCCCCAAAAATGCCATCTAAGATGACTAACAAAAAGGAAAAAGAAAAAACTCAGGGCAGGATTCAGTGGACTGTTTATGTCCCTGCCAATTTCTTTACGCCTTGCCAATTCCCTTCCAAGAGTAGTCGGGTTTGCCAATTCTGCTGCAGAAACAAAACCCACTGCTTGCCCAGAGGAGGTTTAGCAGTGCCTAGGGAAGTCTCCAAGTGAAGCCACCTTCCTGAAATGAGCATTTCCACTGTTTCCAAGAAGTGCTCTACCGCCATTTTTGCAAGAGATGGTGGGAATTGTACAACCAAATTGATGGAGAATACAAATCAGCAGTGCCCTAAGTATCTTGCTGGAGTCTGCCAAAAACCCTAATTAAAACACAGCATAACAAGGAATATAGTAAAAACAGAACAATAAAACGAATGAACAGCACCAACCAAGTAAAACCAATTATATGCAACTACTTATATGCATGTTTCAGTTACAAATGCATGTGTATCGCCTGTATTTCCGCAATGCGAGTGCTGAATATCTTGTTGCTGGCGTTTCTCATCCCTGTTAGAATGTAACTCTCTCTAAAGATGTCTGTGTTGTCAATATATTTTTGGAGGAACTGCTCCCACTTGGGAAAGTCTTCCTGGAAAATACAGTACGGTTTCATTGTCTTTTCTACCATTGGAAAATGTTTGCTTTTTATGTTTTCCTTTGGGATTCATTTAGGCATGTCCTTTTTACTCAGAATCTTTCTGCGGTTATATCCCTCTAAGTGCCTCCTAGGGGCATTTCTAACCTGGTGATTCTGTGAAAATTGCTTCTTGAGTTTGTACAGAAATGGCTGTGGTATTTCTACCTTAAAAAGTATCTTTTGTTTTGATGAATGAGGGAGATTTTGAAAGCACCTACCAATGTAATCCTCCCTTTCCTGGTATTTTGAGTATGAATTTACAACCTCTAGAGGGCAGTCAAGCCCTATTCTTGTGATACATTTTATTTCTATTTCCTATCACTCCCTCTGTAGGGACTGCAAGTTAAGTTCTAGTTGAGTTCTTCCCCTCCTATCAAATCCATAGAGCAAACGGTACTTCTGGCAAGGACTTAGGCTTGTAAATTCTGTTCTAGTCAGTGACCTGCGGTATTTTCTCTCTGTTGTGATTTTCTCTCTGCACAGAGGCTGCTGTGAATTCACGAGGTAGAGGCCATTATGAAATGCAGCTGTGTAAGTGGTAACTAATGAGTCGTCAGGACAGCCTCCCGTAACCTATGGCACTTGTGAACACTGCTGTGATTTCCAGCTTCACTAACATTGGCTGAGCCAACTACACAGAGGCTGACAGCCATCTGCTGCATTTGGTTTTGGCCCCTGCTCACAACCATATTTTGGCTTGTCTTATTAGGCCTGCCTTCTCTAATCTGGTACCTTCCACATGTGTGGACTCCAACTGCTATTATCCTCACACAGGGTTTGCTGGCTGAGGATGACAGAATTGGTGATCCAATACATTGCAAGTGCCGGCATAGGGGAGGCTCCAAGTATTTATTCATTTATTTCTTGAATGCATATATATGCTGCTGATGGTATTTAAACATATCTCTAAGCCGTTTACAAGAAAATTAAATGCACTAAAATACATTATTATGCTGTTGAAAGATATTCTTCGTTACTCAGAACCAGCTTGTGGTTTTCAAGATGTTTTAGTCTACAACTCCCATAATCCCTCATCATTGGCTGATGGGAGTTGTAGACTAAAACTTCTGGATGGCCACAAGTTGCCACCTCTGCTCCAGACCAAGCCAATTGATTTTCTCCTGTCTTTCCCCCTATTTTATACTTTCAGAGGTCAGAATATTTGGCTTCAGTTAGATCACAGAGTCCTGGATCATGATTTGCCCAAGAAACCAGGTCCAGCCATGCTGTTTTTTGCTGTCAGGTGAGTCATGATCACTCAGAAATATGATACAAAAGATTGGCAATTCTCTGGTTGGAAACTGGAAGCAGGAATTGAGGCAGCTTTCCCTTTATGATATATGATCTTATGCATGCTTTGGGAATGGAAAGGGGCCCTAGAGCTCTCTGCACGCCTTCGCCAGTGGGCTTGAGCATGTTGGGAGTTGCAACACGCTTTTCAGTCTCGGTGTGCCTTGGATTGTGCCCTCAACATTAATGTACCAGCAGGATAAGAGCGAGCACATCCCCCTGGGTTTTTCCCAAGCGACATCTGCACGAGTGGCTGTGTCACGCATCCCTATCACTTCCTAACACTGCCTGCCACATCATGCTCTGAATTCTTTATTTAGATTTCAGAAAGATGACTAAAAGGGTTCGATGCAGCACCATGTATGGGATGTATGGTTCAAACGCAGAGTTCAAGAGAACCTTTCCCTTGAGGAGCATTTTGGAAGACTAGGAACAATCCAAATCCTGAGGCGCATAAGGCTCTCCTTTTCTTTTCAGTGGATAGATAGAATATGCCCCCACCCCAGCTAACACCACACACATGTTGTATGTATGAAATATAAAGAAAAGAAAACACCGTGTGTGCGTGGGAAATCCTGTGAGCTTTGTAGCCACCTGATTCATGTTTATTACTTTGTTTAGCTCTTAGCTGACTTCATACCGCTGTTTTATTTTATAGTGTGTAGCTGACTACAACGTGCTATTTCATTTTTACTTCTTTCTTACATTCTCATCTTGCCCTTCCTCCAAGGAGCTCAAGGCAGGGTCAGTCCCTCTCCTCCTCACTTCATCTTTGAAGTTGGTGAGTCTCAAAGAAGCTCTAACCAATTTGGCACAGGTTTTTTTCCCTTTTCCCCAGAGAATGAGGAACTTTTCCTCCATGACCTCCTTTAAGGGTGAAATCCTGCGGTTTTCCAACTTGTCTGGAGTGGAGGCATAGCACAGACCAGAGGCCTGGCTCCAGCCTCAGAAATGCTATCTGGGACTCTGACCTTGGAAGGCTCCTCCACCTCCCCTCACAGCTGGTGCTGTTCTTTATGTGCCAGCTGGATCCTGAAGAAGGAAGATCATCTTTGGAGCCAGTGCAGGGAGGATGTTCAGAAGGGAAGGAGTGAAGCACTGTTGCCCTCTGAGGAATCCTGGCAATGCCTCAGCCTCTCTTCTGAATGAGGCCAATTTGGGCTATCAAAATGCAGTTCTAGCCTCCATGCTTATCCTGCCTTCCATTGGATGCCTGTAATCCTCTCGTGTTGGAGGATTGGATGGCACCAAAAGCACCTTATATTTGCCAGTTTGGATCAGGTCGGCTGCAAGTGTGGGGATGGTAAAACCCCTTATAGCCTTGGTCCTGATCTGGATCGAGATGCTTGCATGTACTCTAGGGAACAAAACAAAGTGACGTAGGTGCTAGTTATGTCTTGAAGGTGACCAGGGCTTCGGCCTTAGGATTCAGGGCATTCCTGCCCAAATCATTATTGGACTCTTTTCTGGTAAACATGTCATACCTTCATTAGGTTCATACAAAACAGTAAGCCACCTGGGCTTATCAGCACCTATGTTAGCATGTTCTCTGAACCTGGGCGAGCTTCCTTGAAGGATGGTTTACAAGGCCAGATTCTGGACTTATAAGCCTCCCCACAAAACCATGGCTTGTTGTAGCCAGCCCAGATTTCAAGTGTCATCCAAACCCAGAGACCACAGCAAGCCCAGGGGTGGCCAAAAGAGAGAGACAGTGTAGTGGTTGAAGTGTTGGGCTGGGGACTCAGGAGATCTGGGTTCTAGTCCCCAGGTGGCCACAAAGCTTACTGAGCCAGCCTAAACTCCCTCACAGAGGATGTTGTGAGGCCCATTTGAGAGAAGAATTATGTAAGCTGCCTTGAGTGCCTCGAAGGAAAAAGAATGAGATAGAGAATGAATGAATGAATGAATGAGTTACAGACCACTTGGCTGCTCTGGCCAAGCAGCACTGGACAAGCACTGATGACAGCCCAAAGTCCCCAAGCAGCATTTGGAGACAGGCTGGTGGCTGTGGCTGCCCAGGGCAAGTGGTACTATGCCTGCCTCCTCCAGAGAAGGCAAAGCAGAGCACAGCCTGGCTGCCTGAAATCAGCGGCAGCTCAGGGTACTGCATGAACTACATTGCCACGTGCAGGGAAGAACAAGCCACATTCTGCTCAGACTCCTCTAGATCACCCTGGGTCATCCTCGGATTGCTCAGGAGAGCCAGTGTGGTGTAAAGGTTACAGTGCTGGGCTGGGACTTAAAGGTTGCAGTTCTAGTCCTCGCTCGGCCATGAAGAACCCTGGGTGACTTAGGGCTAGTCACTGCCTCTCAACCTAGCCTACCTCACATTGTTGTTGTGAGGATACAGTGGAGAAGAAGACTTTGTAAGATGTCCTGGGTGCCTTGCAAGAGGAAGGAAGGTCAGATATAAGTATGATGTGGGGGTGATGGGGATGGGGAGAAGCACTGGCCGCTTTCACTGCAGCTTGTGAGCTCCACTTGCAAGTCAAGGTGAGGGCTGTTTCCTACTACTTTCAGGGCTCCTGCTTTGTCCTCAGGATGCCTGTGCGAGGACTGAGAAGCCCCTCAGGACCACCATGGTGCCAGGTCTTTTGTCCGACACATGGGGCTACAGGCTGAATAGCTCCCTGGGGCGACTTATAAGCCACCCTGGGCTTAAAGGGGCATGTCTTTGCCCAAGTGTGCCTTTGAATTGTCTTGATTACATCCTGGCTATTTATTTATTTAGGCATTTCTATACATCGATTAGCACAGCACTCTCAAAATGGTGTACAAGATCCTATTAAAACAATGTACAGTGTGCAATATAACATTCAATTTAAAAACAAATTTAAAATGCGCACACAGCCAAGCTGCATGTATTGTGTTATAGTCATGCCATGCTGCAAACCAAAATATTGCATTATGTATGTAAGTAGTAAAAGACTTTTTGTGAAGAACAGTGTCCAGATATCCAACAAAGGAAAGCCACAAAAAATAAGTTATCACTCCCTTCAGCATCCGTCTGTCTGCGGTTCTGAGCATGCGCTATAATTTTGTGGTGATAAGAAGCTTCTTGCCTGTTGTCCTTTTGACATCTGAGTTTTCAGCAGTTCATGAACATCCTAAATATGTAGCTTCATGTATAATACTCGTTGCATATATTTCATAAGTTCCTGGCAACTATCTTTGAACTCCACTCAGTGTTTCACACAGTTTTCAAATTTTTCATTTGGATAAGAACAGCTTTTTTGACTTGTTATTCTGACATGGTTGTTCTCAGAGGGCGTTCACTGTGTACTAGATATATATCTGAAGTTTTGTGGCTACAGTACAGACAATTGCATCTGAAACTGCCTATACTGAGTGGCAATGCTGATCCATTCGAAATAGCTCTGGATTAAGCTCCATGCAACTGCTCTAGAGTAAAAGCAAAAAACACATAACTGCTAGGCATACACTTAATGTTGGACCATTTCTGCAAGATATTTCTAGAATTGCAACTTAGATTATGGATGGGCAACATCAGGAGGTGCAGGCACCAATTTTGTCCCACCCCCACACCCTTGCAATCTTCCCAAAAATTGCATCTGTACTGCTCAAAATAAACATTTCTTTCCTTTTAAGTGCTGTGTGTGTTTGTGTGAATGTAAAACGAAGGCTTGCTTTCTTTGGCAACGTGTGTTAAACTCCAGCAAAAGGTTCCAAACCTTTTGATGCAGTCTGGCAGGCATGATGTATTGCTCCCAGGTGTGACACCAGTTCTTACCAAAATATTTCAGAACTTGACATCTCTAAACTTAGCATATCATTCAAGTAACATATATAAAAAGTCATATAACCTTTTTCTATAACTTGATGTTTTTAATGCAGTATGTGAATGGAGATGTTTCTAAACCTGTGCCATTCTGTCAATGGCACTTTTACTCTCTCACTGAAATGTCTTTGTTTTCCTGAGTTGTGCTTTCTTTACTAGGCATTATGGCAATGTGTAATTCAGTTTCAGTTTTCGCTTTTTGTGGGTGGGGGAAATACCCAACTTTGCCAAAAGTTCCAAACTTCTTCCACTGTATTGTCAGCCTAATCTTTGGCATGTGGCAACAATCCACATGCCAACAGTGGATTGCCATTGGCTTCAAATAATGTAAAATAATAAACTTACTTCCCTCTATTTCTTGTAGGTTTTACATCGAAAGCATTTCCTTTCTGAAGGACAAGACCACAGTAGAGCTTTTCTTCCTGAATGCAAAGTCCTGTGTGCATAAGGTAATTTGTATTTTTCTGTATAGTTATCTTTCAGCTAGCTGTAAAAATATGCCTTGTGTAGTCACATACATGCATCTGAACATATATGCCACTGATAGCTGTCATGGATAGAAGAAGAAGGGAAGAAGATTGATGGATAGATTCCAGAAATCATGCAAATTTGTGGTACTATAATTAGTCAAAAATACGTTCTCAAGCAGCATGAGTACAATGGCATCCTTCTCTTGGATATCCCATTTAGGGATGTGAAGATCAGGCCAGAATGCCACATGCGTGTGCTTGCTGGACCTCCTTCCCATATTGATCGTTGGCCAGGAAGCAAACTGAGCTCAAGTCTGCAAATGCTTGGCAACACTAGCCATGGAATTCTTTGTGCCAAATGTGCAAAGTATGCAGTTCTTTGTACAAAATACACAAATCACATAATTCTTTGCACACAGAGATCACTTGTGCAGAAACTGAACTCCATTTGCTTCCTGCCAGATATCCATGCAAGCAAGCTGCAAGGCAGACTTAGGCAGAGAGAAAGTGGGCTGGAGTCCTGGAGCCAGGCTGAGGAAATCCAACAGATTCCCACCCCAAACCAAGTTCCTCACGCATCCCTAAGGATTTAATTATTCTTTTGGCTTATTTTACAGTGATATTGTATATTCTAGAGGTAGAGAATGTAATGAATGGGAAATCTGAACCCATTAAAAATGCAGTTCAGAAGTAAAGCAAGGCCCAGTTCAAGACGTAATGACAAACCTTGCCTTCCTCTGGTATAGCTGTGAGGAATCAGAAGTTTTTGCTTCCATTTCAGTTAATTACAGTTTAGTGTTGCATGCATAGTTTCAAAAAATATGGCTCAAAGTTGGCTTGTTTCAGTTAACCATACTTAGATCTGGATTTGGCCATAATGGCAAGCTGCTGTTTGTCTAAAACAGAAGTTAAAGCTTCTGAACTCATCATGCAGAGAAAGATGGGAGAACTTGAGTCCACTGATCACTGCAACTTATTCCCGTAAATGGTGATCTAAGGTTTGGCCTGGGATGCAGCTGGCACGGTGGTTTAAACTGCTGTGCTGCTGGGCTAGTTGACTGAAAGGTTGCCGGTTCGAATCTGCACAACGGGATGAGTTCCCATTGCTCCATCCCAGCTCTTGCCAACCTTGCAGTTCAACGCATGTAAATGCAAGTAGAGAAAAAGGTACCACTTCGGTGGGCAGGTAGCAGCGTTCCGTGCACTTTGGTGTTTAGTCATACTGGCCACATGACCACGGAGACTGTCTGCGGACAGACGCTGGCTCCCTCGGCTAGGAAACAGAGATGAGCACCGCCCCCTAGAGTCAGGCATGAATGGACTTAACGTCAAGGGGAGACCTTTACCTTTTACCTTTTTAAGGTTTAGCCTGGAGTACGAATGGGGCCTTTAAAAAAGAGCCTTTGAGGAGGATTTCATATATTGCAACAAGCAGCAAATAGTATGTTTTCTGGACTTCCAGTATCCAGGGGCCAAGCATGGTGGTGGAGGAAGGCTATTCTGTGAGATCCAGGCATGCTGGTCCAGACTGCAACCCTGTTAGAAACTACTGAGCCTAAGTTGTAGATTATACTTCAGGATCCTCATGGAAACTTTTTTCCCTGCATTTATGTACTTGTTCTCTGGATCTGCCAAGTTGAAGGGGAAGATCTGAAAGTGGGTTCTACTCACATTCATTTGAACATGACTTCACCCCACGCCCTGCATGATCTGGAATCCTAATAAAGTAGGAATGCAGATGCTTTGGGATTTTCTATTTGTGTTCAAAGAAATGAGATCTTTGACTTGATGTGGCCTTCATCCTTTAGACCAATGAGGTCTGAGCAGGTGGGAGCAGGAACATGGCTGGCAGGTGTGCACATATTCCTTCTGAAGCCACCTTTTTCAGTTCTTGTTGCTTGACTGTCCCAACAAAATGACAATTAAATCAGCATGTGTGACTTGATGTACAGTATTACCATGGAAAGAAAAGTTCATTCATGTAATTCCAACCTTTCAGACCTTTTATTTGTTCTAATATTATCAGGTAGTGTTGTCTAAATAAAATAAAACATTCAATAATACACTTTTTGCCAATACCTTTGACATTTAGGTATAAGTCTTCCTTACATTTAGGCCAAATAAAACAATTGCTTCAAGAAAAATACCCCAAATTCTAATCCATTATAGATTACGATGAGAATTCATTGATCTTAATCAGAGCTTGATACAGGAAGGCAAGATGATTAATGAAGTGTTTTCATTGAAAAAATATCCAATTAAAGCATATGCTTTTGTGCTAGGAAGTTAGCATTCAGCTATAAATAATATTCAGTAAAATTATTTGGAAAACAAACATCTTGTTTCATTTTGAGGTGCTCCTAATATATTGTAAATGGTACCTTGTGGCAGTTGAGTCCATTTTGGTACCTAAGCAATAAGCCTAAAAACAGATGGAAGATGTACTAATCATATATATTCATGTGAACACTTTGCATAAGCTGCTATTGACCTAAGGGTAATGCTGATTAATGGACGGATATGTCAGTCACTGTTCTGTTTTTCTTCAGTTAGAGAAGGCTGAGTATGTGTGTTTGGAAGATGCCATGTCATTGCAGGTATAGGGCCTGAAAAGGGAAGGCAAAGTCAGGAAACTCTGTGGCAGATAACAACAGCAATCTGGATTCCACAGTTGCTTTTTTAGTGGTGTGAAGACATTTGGAAAATTGTCAGTGATTATTAATTTTCATTGTACCTTCCTCCTGCCTCCTGATGCTGCTGTGTTGACCTGAGCTAGCTGGTCTCTGGCAGCTCTGCCTGATGTCAGCAACAAGAGGTGGGCATCTGCAGGCCATCCTTGAAGCGTCATGCTGTTGAGAGGATGTGAGGGGGAGAGGAGGGCATGGTGGGCTGTCAGCGGATGGACATTTAAATATCTGCTGTAGACAGTAGAGTGAGGAAGTGAGGTACTGTGGGGTGGGGGGAAGCAGGAAGGTGGAAAAAGAAGAAAACATAAAGGAGGCAAGTGGATCAGTGGACGTAGTGAAGATGAGGAGGGTGGGAGAAGTGGGAGTTAGGAGGGCAACAGTGCTAACGGAACAAGACAAAGAAAGGAGATGAGCTGAAGTTAATATTGGGAAGAGAGCTAGAAAGGGAAGAGCCTATGTCGTCGTCGTCATCATCATCATCATCATCATCATCATCATTTCTTCTACAGAGAGGAGCAACTGGATAGGAGAAAGGGCAAAAGAGGAGTAGAAAGAACAAAGAGGGAGATGGAGAGGAAGGAAAGAGAAGGGAAATCAGTCTTCAGTATTTACCAGGAGTAGTTCTAAGCAAGTTTTTCCTGAGAATCCATTTCCACATGCGTGTGCACAGGCATACATTTCTTTGTGAAGAGCATCTGATAGAGGTTCCAGGCATACTGAAACAAATGAAGTGCAAATTGTGGTTTATGAAGCTAGTTTGTTTCAATAACCAAAATTAGTATTAAAGAGAGTTTGGATAGGGTAACCATCAGTGGAGTATCATCAGGATGGAAGCCAGTGGCGAGCAGAGTTCTCCAGGGCTCAGTTCTGGGGCTGATTCTTTTCAACCTTTTTATCAATGACCTGGAGGGAAAGGGTAACCAGTCTGCTAACAAAATTCACAGATGATACCAAAGTGGGGGTGGTGGCCACAACAGAGGAGCAGAACAGACTGTGGAAGTGGGTAGGGGACAACAGGATGGCCTTCAATACAGATAAGTGCAAAGTCTCGCACTTGGGAATCAGGAATAAGTGGGGGACAAGTGGCTGGAGAGCTGCATTTGTGAAAGAGATCTCAGGGTACTTGTTGACAGCAGGCTGAACACGAGCCAGCAGTGTGATGTGGCGGTTAGGAGGGCGAATGCCACCCTTGGATGTATAGCTGGAGGTGTGGCTTCTGGATCAAGAGAGATGCTGGTGCTGCTCTGTAAGACTCTGGTGCACCCACAGCTGGAGCCCTGTGCCCAATTCTGGGCCCAACATTACAAGAGGGATGAAGATTCAAATCAGTTCAGTGCAGGGTCACAAGGATGTTATCCAGATTTGGGGGGATTCCATATGAAATGAGAATTAGGGAACTGGGACTTTTCAGCTTGGAGAAGAGGAGACTAAGGGAGGGTCTTATAGTGACTTATAGGTATGTGAAGGGTTGTCACAAGGTAGAGGTCATGACCTGTGTTGGTGGAAGGATGCTATCCGGAGGTCAGACTAGATGGTCCAAGAGGCCCCTTCTGACTTGTTATGTTTCTATGATTCAGATGTAATGCAGGTTAATTGACAATGGATGCAAAACCTTCAGACCTCTTTGCAACTGGACTAAGATGAGAGGGGAGCTGTGAATGAGCTTGAGGTTCACTCGCATAATGCTAAGCCATAGTGTAGCATTGACCTGGCCTGACCTATCATGGTTTGTTATCCTAGATGGGTTGTCATGTCCTGCTTTAGAGAAAGCAGGAGATGGAGTGCCCAGTCAGCTTCCTTATTCTCCCCTCCCCTCCCCTCCCCTCCCTTCCCCTACACATCTTCCCAGCCGAAACTGGAAGTTAGTCCTGCTCTTCAGGACATGAGCCCTCTTTGACAGCCACAGAGTGCTGAAATCAGTGTTGATTGCAGTTATTAGAGGAGCTTCATTCTTCTTTGCAGTGTCCACTGGGATACTACCTGGAGGAAGGAGTGGGAGGGAGGACGTGAAGTACCCATGATGAGCCCTATCATTTGCTAGGCTTATCCTGGGTAATTTACAAAACAATCAAGCCACCATATTGCCAGGGATGGTTGTCATACTCTATGTTTGATCAAGGGCAGCATGTCAACTAATTCCTGATTCTGCAGTTTCATTCCGCCTCCCGAGATATCTTCCAGAAGTATCAAGAAGAAAGATAAAAACTCTTAAGACTGTTGTTTGAAAACTAGGATTCAGGATTTCAATTGCTTGAAGACATAGAGCACATCCTGAATTAGTACTATTCCAGT